CCCCCCCCCCCCCGCACAGGAACAAAACCGTCTTGTATGAAAGCACCTCCCCCAAACCGTGCAAAAACAAACAAGAAGAGCTCGACAACGACATCTTCAACGCAGGTCACGCCATGCTAAGCACCGAAAGGGTAGGTAGGACCGCGTGGCGCGCGTGGACAAACAAACGGTGGTGGTGGAGGGGGGGGGGTCAAGAAGGGCGGGGGTCGGCCTTATCTATATGGCATACTACCGGTTGGACCCACACGTCATCTCGAAGTAAAAATTTATCGAAAAACGGCAATCGTGCGGCGCGTTCACTTAAAAGCCTAGCAAGCGACGGCTGCGTGCATGCATCACCTGAAAAGACGCCAACACCCGAAAGAAAGCGAGAAACCGGAACAAACGTTGCAAGGTGGCCTCGCCCACAAAATGAATAAAAACGGATACCATAGTCGAGTCGGCACAAAAACACAGGTCGTATCGCAGGGGGGAGGGGTAGGCCGTAGGCGGCGGCAAACGACTGCCCAGCGAGTTCTCACGCGTGGGCAACGCTGCATCATCACCAGAATCCGCGTCAGGCACCATGCGTGACCCCTAAACGGTTGCACCGAACCGCACCCTCGCAAAACGACGACAAAATATGAAGCGTGTGTGAGCCCTAGGAGCACTATGTACCTTGACAGCCTCAAAGAATTTTTACCTTTCGAGACAATCGAATCGAGAGGTTTACACCTATAGCTGACGGACGAAGGGATGACCACATAGCGGGGGAATATATAAAAAAAACACGCGAAAGCACTTGTCAACTCTCCTATCCCTTCACTCCCCTTCGCGCTACCCCCAAGACTGCTCATGACCCTACACCTACTTTTCCTGCAACACTATCCGCATCCGCCGTATGCCTCTACACCCGCAGAGCCGGAAAAGGAGCGCGACATACTCACGGACGGTTGCATGTGCAAACTGCCGTTTTCGAGCGAAAAAAATTAGGGGTTTCTTTTCTCACTTCCAACTGGAGGACGCCTTACCAATTACAGTCGGCGCGTGGCTCCAAGCCCGCGCCGGACATTTAACTTAACGCGTTGAGGCACCGCCGAGGTGTAACTAACTCGTGGGCAGTCGAGTCCTTTTTATCACTCTCCCATTCCTCGCGTGGGAAAAACCGGAAGAAAAAGTTGGGGCCGACTTTTCTCATCTTTTCCTCTTCGGTTTCAGACTGACATGCCTTTCATACTCCCTCGGCGCCTCAGCGGGTTGAAACTATTATCCACTCCCCAAACGCCTGTCTATCGCGTGAGAATACCCCCCTTCTCTAATGCGGTCCATTCGATGCCACCCTCGGCCTAGAGGCATGCCCCCCCACCCGGCAAGCTCCTGAAGTGCCCCCTCCCCCATCATTCCCCCCTTTGAAAGCTTACATTACAACCCTTGGCGACTACTGCTACACTCGGACCTGCGAAATATGATGCACATCGGCGATCGCAGGCGCTTAATTTACCCCTACACCGATAAATGCCTGTAAACACCACACCCACCCCGTGAAAACCGGTAAAAAAACGAAGACAAACAACAAGGGGATGGGTGAAAAAACTGAAGAACACGGAAGAGGGGAGAGAAGTCGCCGTCGCTAAAGGAGCCAGCTCTACACTCGACGCTTGTGCCATGCTCAAAAACCCCATCCCTAAAACTCTCCCCCTCGCCCGCCCGC